AGCCAGAATAAAAAACAACAACACAATGGCTTCACCATATAACTTTTAGATATTTTTTGAGCCAGAGAAACAAGGAGAAAGTAGCAGACTTACAGGTGACAGATGTTCGATTATTAACTAATGGCAGACAAGAGAATTATTCAGTCCTGTTTAGATATTTTTTGAGCCAGAGAAACAAGGAGAAAGTTGTAGACTCGCAGGTGACAGATGTTCTATTATTAACTAACTAGAAGCCCAGTGCACAAAAACTCCATCAAAGAGAATTACTTTTGTTCTGGAAATGTTTTAAAAATGTGGTTAAAGGGGAATTCAAGGACATAGTACAGAATCTAACTGCATTAACAAAATTAATTTAACACTCAGCTGAATTATATAGATATATCAAGGGAGCTCTGTAGCAAACATTTCAGCAACGTGTTTGATACCACCTTTCATGGTCTATTTTTTAATAAGATAGAAAACAAATGCAGGCTGTGTAAGATCATTGTGTGGATTTATATCTGGTTAAACAACCACTCTAAAAACAAAGTTGATGTTTACAATGGATCAGTGACAGCCTATTGTTTGCAGTGCTGTGGTTTTCAGTCTTTTGGATTGTGAATCTCTTTGAAAAGCCAATATAACTACTGTCTCTCTCTCCCATAAAAATGCATGTAAGCACATACACTGTTTTGTATATATTTCCTTGGAGTTCACGGACAGTCTAAGAACCCTGACTCAAGCTGTATTCATCATGCATTGCCCTTCGTTTGTTCAGGTTCATTTTTGCCAATGTCTTGAACAAGAACGGAGGAAACCTGTGCTAATTTAGGTTAGGCTCCCTAGAAACAGATTCGGAGATGGAGATTTTTAATTACCATGTTTGTCTATTATTAGATAGGATAGCAGACAAGAGAATTATTCAGTCCTATTTTATTTCTGTCTTCTCCATCAAAGAGAATTACTTTTGTTCTGGAAATGTTTAAGAAATGTGGATAAAGGGGAATTCAAGGACATAATACAGAATCTAACTGCATTAACAAAATTAATTTAACATTCAGCTGAATTAGATAAATATATCAAGGGAGCTCTGTAACAAACATTTCAGCAAGGTGTTTTTTACCACCTTTCATGGTCTATTTTTTAATAAGATAGAAAACAAATGCAGGCTGTGTAAGATCATTGTGTGGATTTATATCTGGTTAAACAACCACTCTAAAAACAAAGTTGATGTTTACAATGGATCCGTGACAGCCTATTGTTTGCAGTGCTGTGTTTTTCAGTCTTTTGGATTGTGAATCGCTTTGAAAAGCCAATATAACATAACTCTCTCTCTCCCCCATAAAAATGCATATAAGCACATAAACTGTTTTGTATATATTTCCTTGGAGTTCATGGACAGTCTAAGAACCCTGACTCAAGCTGTATTCATCATGCATTCCCCTTCGTTTGTTCAGATTCATTTTTGCCAATGTCTTGAACAAGAACAGAGGAAACCTGTGCTAATTTAGGTTAGGTTCCCTAGAAACAGATTCGGAGATGGACATTTGCATGGAGGAAGTTAATTGGAAAGCGCTGTTAGGATCAACACTTGTTGGGGAGTGGAAGAGGTTTTAAATGTAAGAAAACATTAATTTCTGATGTATGAGTTAAGTAATTAACGTAGCTGTATTTTCTTCTGAGTCTTACTATTTTTCTTCCAGAGAAGAAATGGGTCTAAAGATAGCCTGATTGAAGAAAAATCTCAGACATCTACAAGCAATCTGGCTGGAAAACATATAGCAAAAACAATAAAAACTATCCAAGCTTCACGCCTCAAGATAGAGAAAGATCATTGTGTGGATTTATATCTGGTTAAACAACCACTCTAAAAACAAAGTTGATGTTTACAATGGATCCGTGACAGCCTATTGTTTGCAGTGCTGTGTTTTTCAGTCTTTTGGATTGTGAATCGCTTTGAAAAGCCAATATAACATAACTCTCTCTCTCCCCCATAAAAATGCATATAAGCACATAAACTGTTTTGTATATATTTCCTTGGAGTTCATGGACAGTCTAAGAACCCTGACTCAAGCTGTATTCATCATGCATTCCCCTTCGTTTGTTCAGATTCATTTTTGCCAATGTCTTGAACAAGAACAGAGGAAACCTGTGCTAATTTAGGTTAGGTTCCCTAGAAACAGATTCGGAGATGGACATTTGCATGGAGGAAGTTAATTGGAAAGCGCTGTTAGGATCAACACTTGTTGGGGAGTGGAAGAGGTTTTAAATGTAAGAAAACATTAATTTCTGATGTATGAGTTAACGTAGCTGTATTTTCTTCTGAGTCTTACTATTTTTCTTCCAGAGAAGAAATGGGTCTAAAGATAGCCTGATTGAAGAAAAATCTCAGACATCTACAAGCAATCTGGCTGGAAAACATATAGCAAAAACAATAAAAACTATCCAAGCTTCACGCCTCAAGATAGAGACTTGATCCCAGTGAAAGGCTTGGGATGGGGGATTCAGAAGGGGGTGGAAAGGGTGTGTGCTGCCTTTACTTTGAAACTGTGAATTGTAATTATTCAAGTATCTTGGACCTCCAAGTGTTTCTTCACAAGAAAATCGAGTCTGTTGCTCCTTTTAAAAGGTTTTAACTACAGTGTATTTGTGCTGAAGAGCCTTTTTTTTTTTTGGTAGTAACTGGAAGGATAGTCATCTTGTAAAAACTCATGCCGTACCCACAACCCAAGCCAGGTGTTTCTGGACTCCTGGGACCGCAGCTGGCCAGCTGTGCAATAGTACAAGTGGGACGAAGAGCTCTCCCCCTCTAGGTGGACCTCCACCTGTGCAGATGCATAACTGGGGCTACATCACTTTCACACTATAGATATTTTTACTCATATAAATGTTCTTTGTAATGCTGTATTTTGTGGCATTAAGTTCCACTGGTTATTTACAAATGTAAAATTTTGTTTGAAAGCATTGCTTTTAATTTCTAGTGTCCTTGTCTTGTTTTCAGGAAAAAAGGATTTTTATGGGTCTATTCATGACCACCCTCAACCTCAAATGGTCCCTCCAGTCTGCCTGGTTGACTGTCCCCAGACTATTTCAGACCTTTCCCGCCAGCAATGTACCTTACATGAAAATAAAACACTAATGCAAGCCATCTTTTACCCTACCCCTTACACCTCTTTCCCAGGTGGTTCTTTTATGCCCATGACTATTTCTGTAGCTTAAACAGGCCAGTGTCCTTCCAAGAGACCCAACTAGTTTAAAATGTTGCTTCCCAGCTAGATTTAGGGCCTTGATTACTGTGCTTGTCTACACACCTGGTAATCATAGGGACACCCCCTGATTACCAAATCCCGTCACCTTTGCTCTCTGTAGCTGAATTATCCCTTTACTATTTTTGCCACATTGACCCCAGGTGGTCATCTCTTATCTAGACTACTGGCCCACCTGTATCCTTGCAAATGTAGGTTCTGGCACCTTACCTATTCAACCTCAATTTGTAACATCCCGAGCTCTCATGATGGCCATCTAACATGCCTCATTATGCACTCCTTGTCTAAATCAGGGAACTAAAGAGGGAAAGGAACAAATATGAACTTATGGTCATACTTTTTCTAGCTCAAGGCCTCTGCACATGCCTTGCAAAACTGTCACCTACCCTTAGTCCCAACTCCTTTCTCAGGCAGGTTTCCCTGACTTGGTCCAATTCTACTTTACATGGGATTTGTCTCACAAAGTTCCACATTTCTTATGACATTCATTTGCTTGGAATCTTCTAAAGGGAGGGACTATTTTATTTTGCTCATCGTATTCCCAGCTCCTAGTACAGTGCTTTCAATAATTTTTCTGAATTTATGAACACATTTGTATTTTCCTACAAAGTGAAGGCAGAAGATATGCCAACTTGAAGTTTACAATCTAGTAAAAGAAAAATTTAATGCAGTGACAACATAAAAGCACACCCATACCCTACAAACCAACCAGTCTAGTTTCCTCATCCTCCAGAAATTCTATTTCTTTGTTATGGGGTGAACCACTGCTGTAGCTTAAACAGGCCAGTGTTCTTCCAAGAGACCAACTAGTTTAAAATGCTGCTTCCCAGCTAGATTTAGGGCCTTCATTACTGTGCTTGTCTACACACCTGGTAATCATAGGGACACCTCCTCTAATTACCAAGTCCTGTCACCTTTGCTTTCTGTAGCTGAAATTATCTCTATTTTTGCTACATTGACCCCAGGTGATCATCTCTTATCTAGATTACTGTAGTAGCCTCCAATTGGCCCACCTGTTTCCTTGCAAATGTAGGTTCTGGCATCTTACTTGTTCAACCTTAATTTGTAACATCCCAAGCTCTCATAATGGCCATCTAACATGCCTCATTATGCACTCCTTGTCTAAATCAGGGAACTAAAGAGGGAAAAGAACAAATATGAACTTATGGTCATACCTTTTCTAGCTCAAGGCCTCTGCACATGCCTTGTAAAACTGTCACCTACCCTTAGTCCCAACTCCTTTCTAGGGCAGGTTTCCCTGACTTGGTCCAATTCTACTTTATATGGGATTTGTCTCACAAAGAAGGCTCTACATTTCTGATGACATTTCCTTCATTTGCTTGGAATCTTCTAAAGGGAGGGACTATTTTGCTCATGGTATTCCCAGCTCCTAATACAGTGCTTCCAATAATTTTTCTGAATTTATGAACACAATTGTATTTTCCTATAAAGTGAAGGCAGAAGACATGCCAACTTGAAGTTTACAATCTGGTAAAAAAAAAAAAAACTTAATGCAATAACATAAAAGCACACCCATGCCCTACAAACCAACTAGTCTAGTTTTGTTCATGAGACACTGGAAGAAAGCACATTTTCCTCAGGCCCAACATAAGCCTTTACCTAAGCCTTCCCTATATAGCACTGAATAGTAAGCTTAATGCAACAGTTTTGAAGTTGCCGGGGGAGGAGAGAAACCCGACTTTTCTGTAAAAGAATACTATTTTCTGGCAGTCACATAGTACACAGACCTCCAAGAAGCATATTTAAATATTTATTCACAGACCCATTGTGTTAAATGTATATTTATGAACTGTCCAGAGACAGTTTTGGCTTTCCTCAGACTCTTGAAATTTTTAAATGATCCGGGCAACTCCTGTGAAGATCAAGTTTTCAAATTCTTCACCAAGGGCATCCTAAAAGAAAAGCGCTAAATTTTACAAGCAAATATTTACACGCATCAGAACTTAATACTCTCAATGCCTGGTTCTGCACTGAGTTTCTGGAGTCAGATTTAAATGTCAACATAAAACACACCTGACATTTGACAAGTTTTTTTTTTTTAAATTACACTACTACTGTCCAGCCGGTGTGGCTCTGCATCAACCTATGAACCAGATCGTCATGGTTCGAGATTCCCCATCAGGGGACATGCCTGGCTTGCAGGCTCGATCCCCGGTGTTGGGTGTGCAGGAAGCAGCCAGTCAATGATTTTCTCTCATCATTGATGTTTTTCTCTGAAATCAATAAAAATATATAAATTCTACTATTACTACACAAAAACATCTTAAGATTTCAAAAATAAGCTGGAAACAGGCTATCCCATTTACCATTAACTTCACCTTAATTACTGATGTGCAGTACTAATACTAATAAACCAATACTCAATTTAAACTAATGCCCACAAGACACCCCAGTATGGAAAGGTGATAAGATTCCCATTACAAAGAACTTTTATTTTTAAAATATTTTAACCTTTTTATTAGAAGTATTTATATTGCCTGAAAAGTATTCCACTGTTGAGTTATTTTAACAGGTGAATATTATAACAAGCAAATCTTGAAAAACTTAAGAAAATCCAAATAATTATCATATACAAGCAAAGCATCTTAATAGACAACAAATATAACTTCTACATCACCTTACCTTAGGTCACTTGTGCTCCCAGGTAGTATTCAGGTAGCAGACTATGCTTCATGCATCCATCTTTCCCCTAAAAAATTAGTAAAAAAAACAAAACAAAAACAAAAAACTGGTTATGAGAAACTTTACACTTAATGCTGGCAGACTCAGATCACATGTGCAAACAAATTAATGTACAATATAAACTGTTACTTACACAGCTCCTCCACCAAAGACATCAAACTCAAGGGCAGGAAAGGGCTGCGAAGTGTGTAGTTTACGCCTTTTTTGACACCACATTCACTAGTTTCCAAAAGTGAACGGGCAACACAAAGGCTACATGCAAGCTGCTGCAGTGAGACTGCTGGTCTCTGGCACGAGGCTGCAGCCCCTAAATCACCCCGCGGGGAGAACTGCTCAGTCGAGATGGAATGAGAACGAAGAACTAATCCCAGCTCTAGACTTTCACAACTCACAATGCGACAGGGAACTGAAAACTGAAATACAAAGTGTTTTAAGAGTTCCAAACTCTCAGAACTTCAACGCAACTAGCCTTTTTTTTTACAGGAACATGAAAACTCACCTGCCCAGTCGGCGATACTCGTTCGACTTCCGCCGGTTCTGCAGGTGGACCCGGCGTCAGGCCTTAAACCTTAACTGGCTCTTCTACGCTGACTGATTCCCCGCGTGACATGGGTGGGCTTAGGTGAGGCCGTTCCCTTTCACAGAAACTCCGCGCTTATATTAAAAACTCCCGGCATCCAGTCCATGACCAATACACTCAAATGCACCCCAACCCATCTCCTCATTTCCCGGCGGGGGACGCAGACCGAGGTCCGCTTCGGGGCCTCCTGGGGTGCAACGTGGCTGAAGTCAGGCCCAGGCGCTGCCGTCCACGTACTCGGGGCCCGGACCC